AATTCTTGGGGAATCTTAGTGGTGACCCCTACATATTGCACACAAATGTCTACACACTAGGCAAAGGGAACAGAGAACAACAATTCTATCTATGGTTCGATCCGACTAGAAACTTCCACACATATTCCATCATTTGGAAGCCACAGCACATAATGTAAGAGCATCAATTGTCTTGTAACTTGTCTTTGTACCTTAGAAAAAAAAACACAGCTAGTAATGATGTCTTTGTTGTTGTTGTTGTTCTGTTTTGCCAGATTCTTGGTGGATAACACTCCCATCCGAGTATTCAAAAACGCTGAAGCGATCGGTGTGCCGTTCCCCAAGAGTCAGCCCATGAGGATTTACTCGAGCTTGTGGAACGCGGACGACTGGGCCACGAGGGGCGGCTTGGTGAAAACTGATTGGACAAAGGCACCCTTTACCGCATACTACCGGAACTTCAATGCCAACGCTTGTGTTTGGTCGGGGACCGGTTCGTCTTGCAGCAAGACGAATTCAGTCTCCGACGGTGCTTGGGAAACGACAGAGCTAGATGCCCCGGGAAGACGAAGATTGAGATGGGTTCAAAAATACTTCATGATTTATAACTATTGCACCGATTTGAAGCGTTACCCTCAGGGTGTTCCGCCCGAGTGTAAACGGAGGTTCTGAAAGAAACTGTCATATTCTTTAATGTTTTCTTCTATGTAATCAAGTTGCACTCAACTCGATGCTTAGGGGTGGAATAAGTTATTAACATTCTTTGTTTTCATGTATCTTTGTTCTTTCTATTGCTGGTTTTTAATTTAATGATTTTGTGATGTTGAAAATAGCTGTAAATCCTCTGTTTCTGATAATAAATTCTTCATGTTTCGAATATCAAAATAGCTTCTCTTTAATGCTGCCTATGGAAGCATGTTTGAAAAGGTAATTCTTCCCCTGGCACATAGGTAATCTCCCGTGACCAATGCAATGCTACACTTTGATCACATTTCCTCTGCTTTTTCCTCAATTTGTTAGTTATTCTAAAAACAATAGGAGAATCAAAAGGATTTGACTGTTGTTAATAGGAAAATAGTGATTGTAATGATTTGGCAATTCATCTTTTCATTTGAATGAAAAATCTTTATTTAACATAGATAAGATGACCATAAGGAGTTTGGTGAGGCAGTCGTTTCTGTGAGAATTTAAAATTAAAATTATTATATATTTTAAAATTTTCTTGTATGTTTGTTTATTGAGAATATGTTTTTATTTTTTAAAATTTTATAAATTTGTCATCTCCTAAAATTAAACACTAATATAAAATTTTAGGGAAAATAAATTCTGAAAATAGATGAAAGAAATTGAAGAGAAAAGAAAGAAGTTATCTCTCTTCTTTAGTTATACATGATGGTTTATACATTGAACTTTGTATAAATCTAAAATCATGATTATAATTTATAAATTAATAAAATTTATAAAATTATAATTTAAATAAATAACATAAATTAATTCATGATTATGTCAAAAAAGTAACTATCTAGAAAATATTAATTAATAATAAATAGAGAAGGCATGGCATAACAAGTGTCAAAAGGTGGTACAAATAATGGGGCAAATTTATGGAAGTAAAGAGTCGGAGCCTGTGAAAGGATAAGGCTTTCCTGTCCCAACCCAGGGGAAGTGAAGAGGATGACCATGCCGATGCATGCATCAGCTTTCACCAACTTTATAAAATATACATTACGAGCCCTTCACCCACTCTGGGGCAACTGCAGCTACAATCCAAAACATTAACTCAAAAATAATCTTACAAATTGCCATCGGGTCACGTGAAGAGAGCGTGGTGTGTGTATCATTATGACTCCTCATCTCAATTTCATCCATATCATTTAATATTTATGCATATTTGAAACTTGGGTCTAATTCTTTCATTAGTCCTTATACATTATGTAGGTAATAAATTAAAATAATACCTACTATGTAGACAAAAAATTATATATTGATATCAATTTAAGAACAATTGGTATTCAATACAAATACTCGTACTCACACCCGAATCCAAGTAACATAGCTATAGCTATTTAAGAAACAACGATCACAAAGAAAGCAATGCAGTTATCATAATTGATAACTATTTATTTGATGAGTCGGCTATAGGAATGAGTAGTTCTTCAACATAATTGGCAAATCTCACCCTCGGTCGCTGCCCACACTACATGAACAAGAGCTTTAAATTCTTAGACAAACCGTACTTCAAGTACAATATGAGGAGATTGTTCAGATATGCTATTGTATGGAGTGCAAAAGCACAAACTATACTTACCGGGATTCTGCAATGAATGTTTAGATCATAGATCATTTCACCGAGACGAGCTTTGGCAAGTTCTTCAGCTTCAGAGGCTTTCTTGCAAGCATCTGTAACCTGATTTCAGCATATTAGAGATTAAGCACAAGTTTATGTAATTATGTAGAATATGAAGCAAGGATATTGGATTGTATGTAGTATATGTCATTCACCTCATTGATGGATATACTACACTGATCTCTAGCACCAGAAGCAGATTTCTCCAAGATATTCCGAAGGAATGATAACTCTTTTAATCAAATATGTCAGTAACCGGTTTTCGTCCGGGTTCGAAATTTTACTTGGCAAAAAAAGTAATGTGAATAAATAAATAATTTTTTTAGGAAATGTTTAGAGTCGTCATCGGACTTTTAGGTTAGGTAGGTCGAATATCTAAAAAACATCTTTTAAAAAAGTTTATAAGAAAACATCAGTTAAAATATAAACCGATCTATGTTTAACCAAAAATTCGTTCTTTTTAATAATAAAAAGGGATTCATGGTCGATTACGTTTGGGGAAGGATTAGCACCCCACAACGCCCAAAATTGGTCCCTGTCGATTATAAATTGTCTCTAATAGTAGAATTTAAGAATTCGAATATAAATTTAATTTATGATCCTGTGATTTCAAATTTATTAATATAATTCCAAGAAAATATATTAATTTTTATAAATATATATATATTTTTTATATTTTATAAATAAGATATTTATTTACTTAGAAATATCATAAAAGACTTCTAGTTGCTTTAAGATAGTCATTTCTTAATATTAATAAATAAATAAATATTAATAAAATATTTTTCTAAAAATAATAAAATAAATAAAATAAATTAATATATATAATTTATAAAAGTATGATATTTATTTATTTAAAAATATCAGAAAATGACTTCTAGTCAATGTTTTTAAAACCGGAACAAACATTGAATCGATGAAGGTACTGGTTCACTGGTTCAACCGCGGTTGAACCGGATTTTATATAAAATAATATATTTTTTTTAATTTTACATAATATTTAAAGCAATATTAATATATATGTAACACTTTTTTTAAGTTTACAATATTAAAAGGTATAAAAATATCACAAGTCATAACATATATAAATTAAAAACCACAAAATCAAGTGAAACAAAATGATTTAAATCAACTACAACAAAATATTTAAAGTAAAACATATTAAATAATAAATATAATTATATAACTATAATAAAAAAAAATTAGGGCTTAAAAAATCATAACAAATGATGTCATTTGGTTTAATTTAAAAAAACAATCTCACATGGCTAAAAAACATAGAAGAGCATCCCAAAAGTTTAAAGAGAAAATATGAGAACAAAACAATCACACATAACTAAAAAATATAGAAGAGCATCCAAACTTACTTCTATAAATAATAGAGGTAATTTGACATTCAAAATCATGGAGCCTTTTGGTGAGCACAAAGCGAACTATTCTTTCGCTTCAATTGAGCTCAAATTTTAGGCTTCAATCAAACTTCTAATTTTTTTTGAGTTCGAGCCTTTTCGAGTTCAAGTTTTAATATTATATTTCGAGTTCGAGTTGAACTTGATAATTTTTAGCTCGTGAGTTTTTGAGTTGAGTTAAACTTACTTTTAAAGTTTTCGAGTTCGAGTCGAGCTCAGCAATACTCGAATTTGATTCGACTCGTTGAACAAACAACGTCGTTTGGTTTAATTTTTTTTTAAAGAAAAAGTGAACCGGCGGTTCAAACCAATTTGCCGATTTTCAGTCAGTTCACCCCGGTTTTATCGATTTTCAGCCGATTCTATCGGTTCTACCGATTTTCAGCCAGTTCCTTGACAGACTGGTTTTGTGAGGTAACCAGACAGGCCACCGGTTCATGGTTGAACCGTGAACCGACCGGTCTGGTCCGATTTTGATAACCATGCTTCTAGTTGTTTTAAGACAGCCTATTTCTTAATATTAAAAATAAATAAATATTAAAATATGATTATTTTTCCTAAAAGTAATTTATATAAAATTAAAGCAAATATATATATTTTATAAATAGGATTTTTATTTAATATATATAAAAAAATAAAAAAATAAATAATATTTATTATATATATGTTTATATGACTAAATAATAATAATATAATAATAATTAAATATATTGAAAATAAAAGGATAATAATAAAAATAAATTGCAATTTAAATAATAAAAACAAATAAAATTAAAAACTATATGATTAAAATGCAAAATATATAAAATTCATGGTCAAAAATGAAAAGAATAAAAAAATAGTAACTAAAATATAAAATATAAAACCTAAAGGTCCTAATTTGAATTATTAAAAAGATATGTACTAACAGTATAATTTAGCCTTAATTAGTTATTTCGAGGTTAAAATATTAAATATTAAATATTAAAATCTGAGGGACTAAATATAGTATTTACCCTTAATTATTATATAAATATTCGGTTAAGACTAAAAAGAAATAAAACCAAATTTAAAAACCAAATTGAAATGCACATAAAATCAATTCCAGTGACTAAAATGTAAAATTACAAAACCTAGAGGGATTACGAGTGTGGTTTAACCATGTGTGAAATTACACAGTCACCCTCCCAAAACGGCGTCATTTGGGGAGGGATTTATATACCCCAAACCGACCATTTTAGGCCTAAAATCTCATTTCTTTTTTTTCTTCTCTCTCTAAGAGAGATTTACTCTCTCTTCTCTCTAAGTTTCCCTCGTCTGAGGGAAACCAGTCGCCGACCGACAACCGTGCTCCGACGTCGATCGCCGTCAGTGGCCGAAAATTTTCTAACCTACCCCAAATTAAAGCACCGATTATCCTAAAGCCAAATCCGAGATTATCTTAACCTAAAACTCTACCAAACATCATGGATCTAGCCTTTTTACCTTCGACTCTTTGGTTCTCTGGTGATGCGTGGAAGATCCGATGATGTGGTAAGTTGCTCGGTATGTTTTCTTTGTTTGGTTGTTGATTGTTGCTTTCGTATCTCCGTTCTCTCTCTGTTGTTGCCCGTGTGGCTTGCTCTCACTCCCTTTCTCTTTGTAGGTGTGGTGGCTTTTATAGCCACCACCGAGGATGATATCGGACCGAATAATAGAGGGCCATTCGGTGAGTCACCGAACTATGGTGGTGACTCACCCCTAGAGCAACGACGTGGGCAGCCATCTGGTGCTTCTAGAGTCTTCGACGAGGCGACAACAACTGGCTAAGACACCTGATGATGGAGGCGACAACTATTGGAAGTGGCGGCTAGAGATGATAACCTAGGGTTATGAAACCCTAAGGCTTCATGTTAAACTTTCTGTGGACCGTTAGATCTCTCAGATCCAACGATTGAGAGATGCGACGACTGTAAGCTAAGATAGGGCTTAGAAACCTTATTTGCATTAGGGTTTGGGTCATGCTGGACATCTGGGTTGGGCCTAGAATTGTAATCGGCCTTTGGGTTTTTTTTGGCTTGTAATATATATTTTATTTAATAATAATAATATAATATAAATTATAATAATAATAATAATAATAATAATAATAATAATAATTTTAAAAAAATGCAAAAATTAGTGTCTACAAAATCCAATGCCACTTCTTCAGCATCTTGCATCTGATTTCTTGAGAATTCGAATGCTCTCTCTGCGTGAAGCCGGAAAGATGTGCAGTTCAGACAAGAACAAATACCTCTGCATCCAGGAGGATTTCTTTTAAGGATTCCCTTTTTGAGACCGACAATAGGAAATCCTATAGGAATAGATGCTTCTCCCAAGCTATCAGCTTCTATTGGCTTTACTTGATTTACACATTTTGCAGTAGACTTTGTGGTATCCCCTTCGGTTTCAAACGTTAGACGACAAGACACTAATTTCGAAGCTTCTTCTCTTCGGAACAATCCAGAATTGATGAGAGGACTAGATGACATGGCTGATGGCTCAACCACATGTTTGGGGCTAGTTTCTAACTCTTGGTTTGCATCCACCAATGCAGCATGTTTAACAACCGATGCATGTTCCTGTTGTGAATCTGGTATCAGCAAGGAGCCAGCAAGTTGTTTAGGTGGAGATCGTGTTGGTTTATCGCTAGATGATCCTATAGCAGTTGCTTCAGTCACAGGCGCCCGAATGCCATCACTCGTATACTGCTCTACAGCGGGACTTCTGCAATCAAAAGTTTCAATGTATGCACCTTTGCCAGAACTAAAGACTAGTGAAATAGGCTTTTCTTTAGAACTCTTGTCAACCTTCAATGACTGATCATTTCTAGAAGCACCTAGTAAAGCATCCAAGTAACAGATTACAAATACTTAGGCTCCAAACTAATTCATAAACAATGGAACTATTCTAAAGCAAGAAGGGTTCGGTAAGTGGGAGATAGTCGAGGAAGTAAAGGACTCACAGGAGTTATCATTTGTTAAGTCTATCAAAAACTGAAGCAACCTTCGATAACTGAATGAACCTGGGATTTTACATAACATCGGACGCAACTGTTGGTTTGGGACCTATTCAACATTACAAAGGCCAATTACATTAGCATGAAATATGTAATTTTCGCCATTAACTAGTATAGTTGCATATGTACTTATCAGCAAAGTACGTACTGTGAAAATGATGTACCACAATTGAAAATACTCTGAAAGGTTGATAACATCTTACCAACTTGTTCTTAGGACTTGTGTCTAAGCTTTTATCAGTATCTCGACCACCGTTTCTGTGAAAGGCTCCGTTCTTTGACTTTTCACCATCACAATTCGTTCCTTGAGAAAGGCAGTCGGCCCTGATGCCTCTGGTATTACCAGTCTCCATTTCAGAAATCATGACAGAATCTGGTGGTGTCACTGACATGCATTGTACATTCAAGTATTCAACTTTTTCCACAACTTCAGCCACAACTTCAGCATCATTGTCTTCAATCTCAGACTGCATTTCCTCATTGGAATTTTTGTTAACTTCATTATAATCACTAACCAGAGAAAAATTCCAGTCCAAAACTTGAACATTGCAAGGAGATTCAACATTAGATTTTGCAATTTCACCATCATCTGCCAATATCTTATCAGTAGACAACACACAAGCTGAATTTTCCTTGTTGAAATGAAAATCCTCAATAGTTGAAGATGAATAATTTTTCAAGCAATTCGAGTTCTGGTCTTCAGTAGAAACTTGCAACTCAAATTTCTTAATCTCTCCATTAACAAGTGGCATTGAGGAAGGGTCCTTTTCATGTGAGGTGAAGGAACCAGCCGCCATAGATTTATCTCCCATTGCTTCTTCAACATTTGAAGCCAACAATTCTTTCTCTTCGAAACCCTTTTCAGTTTTTGGACAACGGATCATTATTGGGGAGTCTGTAAAAGATCATATGCAGTAATGTTTTAATGCCATTGTTTCTTGTGCAACCAATGCTTGAAAGCAGAACATAACCAAAGCACGGGAATTTCCATAACAATCTTTTTTAATATCCATCAAATAAGGAAGCAATCTTCTTAAGATGAATGAGCCTGGCGCTTTGAAAAGCTTCACTCGAGAACATGGTCTAAGGACCTACTTAAACCACATACACAATTTCCATTAAAAGAAAATTAACTTATTCAACATCGTTGTTGGAGAAATGGAACACAAACAGTAAAAATCAACTGGACATTAGATTAAACGACATTAAACTCTTACCGATTTTGTTGAGTAGTTCGTTTCATTTCTCTCTTCAGGAAAGCCCTTTTCTTTCTTGATCTTTTCACCTTCATTTCTCTCAACCACTTGCTCAACTCCAATGATCTCGGCATCAGGTGGTGTTGACTGAACAAATTCCTCATTCGACATCTCCATTTTTCTAACATCCCCATTTCCACAATCTTCTTTCCTTCTATCCAAACAATTCCCAGCAAGCTCACTTTTTCCCAGACTCTCACCATCGTCTAAACAATTCCCAGCAAGCTCACTTTTTCCCAGATTCTCGGCATCGTTCAAACAATTCCCGGCAAGCTCACTTTTTCCCAGATTCTCGGCATCGTCCAAACAATTCCCAGAAACCTCACTTTTTCCCAGATTCTGATCATCATCCAAACAGTTCGGAATGACCCCATCAGTGGAAGAGGGGGAAAAGACCCGTCTTAACCGGAGATCTTTGATGGAAACGGAAGATAAATCGCACCCCACCGAATCTTCAACTGGCAGGCTCTTTTTGGGTTTCTTGACAAAGGATTGTAGACCTTGGTGTTTTCCGCCGCCGATGGAGTAAGTTCGAGATTTGCCCGACCGATTGCGGTGAATATGGATCTGGGATTTGCTACGAGTGGTGATTCCCCTTAAAGACTGGCTAAGTGGATGACATGGCCGCTTCCTTTTCTTCAAGACTCCCCTTGAGTCCGCCATTTTAAACCCTCTGAAAGAAACTGTGTGCGTGCAAGAGAGAGATAGAGTATTAATGGGGTTTGGCGGGGAAAAGAGAGACGATAAATGTATCTGAGTTTGGCGGGAAAACTTGTCTGAGTTTGGAGGGAAATTATATGGATTTGGCCATTACTTTTTACGAGCTAAATTCAAATATATTCTAAAATTTTCGGGAAACTGTTTGTCTCGCAAAAAATATAATTAATAAGAGTAATATTTTTTTCTGAAATTATATATTTATAATTAGTTTATTTTCATCCCCATTAGAAGGAAAATATTATTATTACTTATCAGTAGTATTTTCTATTAAAATCTTGAGAATTTTATTCTCATTTAACTTTTTAATTTATATTACTCTAAATAAAATTATCTTAAAGTAATAAATATTCTTTATATTAGTTATTATAACATATCAGTTATGTTTAAATATTTTTTTATATAAATTATGTTAAAATATATTTTAATAGTTTAGATAATTATAAATTAATATCTATTCAAAATTTTATAAACTAATTGATAAGATACAAACACTTTACAAATATAATTATTTGAAACTAAAACTTCTATAAAGAATAATCTTTTATTAATACTATTTGATGAGTTCTAATTATAATATTAATAAAATTAAATTTAAAAATTATATAATATTTTCTTTACATTTATGAATTTATTAAGTGAATTTACAAATACAAATTATATATATTATTAACAAATTCTAAATAATTAGATTGTTAACAAAGTTGCCATTGTCGTCGCTGCGAAGGGTGGTCAGCTGCCGAGCAACATCGATCTCCGACTCTAAAAACTCAGAATATCCGCCACCATTGTTGCACGATATCAGCTTTGAATACTTAAAAACAAACCAGCACCAAAGCATTCAAAGAAAAAACAACTAATTTAATTACAAATCATCTTCTTCGCATTCCGATGATTCTAGATAACCAAAGGCTTGGTCGTTCTATAAATGAAATCAATCGATTTAAACCTCTTTCTTCTTGGCGGAAGATCTTCGTCTTCTTCCTCATCCAATGGATATCGATTCCATCTTCTATTGCTTCTGTTTTCACCGGTTTCTTCTTTCGTTTGCTTTGACCCTTTGTCGTCCATGTATTTTTCACAAAGCTGAATCAGCTGGCCAGCGACGTCTATTTCCATCTCCGAGAAAATCATTGCTTTTGTGGGTTTCGCCGTTGTTGTATTATGTTTTGAGGTTAAAAGGAAAACTATAACGGAAAGGACGAATGGGATTTATTTCCATTTTATAGTTGAACTTAAACCGACTTGACTCTCCAAGCCGGCATTGCTGATGTTATTTGTTCACGTGTATTGATATGATTGGTCACAATTTAAAACAAGACTTTAACCGCAAGTTATCGATGTGTTAAATTTTTCAATAGAGTTTTCCACTGTAAATTATACATTTAGTATATAATTTATACTTAACGTTGATTTTTGTTTTATTTTAATTATTTGTTTTTAAAAAATTAATTATAATAACAATATGTTATCATAAGATAATATCACATCATTATTAAAAATAATTTTAAAAAATTATATCAGCAGTTTTGTTAATTTTTAACAATGAATTATCAAAATGAAACTAAAATATAACGTTAATTATGATTTTAAAAATATATATATATAATTAAATAATCAAAACGAAATAAAAACAATAATTAGTATACCTAATTTATAGTTTTTAAAATATATATATTCATTATTAATTAATTAAAAAATATTATATTATAATCGTTCCAAAACTTCATCAAATATGAGTTTTTTCTAAGTCTGAAAGCCCAAAAGTATTTTAAGGCTGAACTCTTTCGTGGGCTTCTCTTGGAGAAGGGCTGAACAAAGACCAAAAAGATGAGAAATTAGAAGCAGATTTGTATATTTTGAAATTATACATGAACCTCTAACATATTTAAACAAATAATAAACAAAAAAGAAGATGGAATGTGCTTTTCATTGTTATATATTTTTATTTAATTAAATAATATATATAAAGTATTTTTCATTTAGAGTAAGTGTATCTGGTCGGGTGGTAAAGTTATTTATCTTTGTTCACTTATATTATCTTAAATCATGAATTTTAGACTCACTAAGAGTATTCTTATTCATTCACCTACAATCTTCTTTCTCCTTCCCTAGAGTAGGATTATGATTAGATTTAAAACTTGTCAATAAAATATTTTCATCTAACGCAACCCTGCAAGTTTTCTCTTCTTATACGCGGTTTGCCTTCATCTTATTTCACAAACAGTTATATGGTGTTTAATCGCCCACCATCTATATTTTTTATTTTTTATTATATTATATTTTTATTTTATTTACTTTTAAATTCTAAGAATTATGTATTTATGATGTGTTTTTCTAATAACTAATTTTCTTTATGTTTTTCTATGTATTGTCGAAATCAAGTAAACTAATAAATAAATGCACGTCTCTCATATCTTCATTTATTATAGAGCACGAGACTACTTTAGATTTTTATCATATATGTTTTTTTAACATCAATAGAAAGGAAAAAATCCAAATTAATTTTAAAAAATTCAAAAAATTATTAAAAATTAATTCATCATCAACTTTTAATATAGTAGGTGACACCAATAATATTCGAATTTCTTCTAAAAATGAATATTTTATCGTAAACTTTTATAGAAAGGACTTGTGATGGGTCCAATAATAAGATGCTGATGCATGCGAGAAAATAAATTTGTGGTGGGTCCAACAATAGTAGTTTCAAAGGGAGAAAATTTTTGATCGGCAAGTCTAATGAGTGAATGGATAATGTGATTGTTGGTAAGTTGGATACGGAGGGAAATGAACCAAAGCTATTAGTTGGAGTTTGGTTCGTTGGAATATTTATGAGGGAATTATAATCTGTGAAGGAATTGGAATCTGAATCTGAAATCTGTTTGGTTGGCATGAAATTAAATTAGAATCCAATTCCATATTCTGTTTGGTTCGCAGACATGTCATATGAATTTGATTTCAGTAATATAAAATGATAGAATTACCCTTCTTTTTTTTGCTTAATTTTAGTTTGCTTTATAACTTACATGTTGTAAAATTTTAAAAAATATTAAAATTTCATTTTATTGATTGATTATTCATTTCAATAAATTATAAAAAGCATACTAATAAACATCATAAGTTAAAATCATCCCAATTAGGGATGGCCATGGGTCGAGTTTTTTTATCCACCCGACCCGACCTGAGAGCAAGGGAACCTCCACCCGAGACCCGACCCGACCAAAATAAAGTTTCACCCAACTCGAATATATGGATTAGAAACTCGACCCGACCCGAAATAATAAAAAAAATATTTTTATTCAATAAAAACAGTGACTTAATTGAAAAAATATATATATAGGGGTATTATTATAATTATTACTAAATATATAAGGTAAAATTATATTTTTTTTGGGTCGGGTATTTTTCATCCTAAACATGAACCCGACCCGACTCGAATATTACACTTAAAAAACCCGACCCAAACCCGATTTTTTTTTAAAAAAATCCGACCCGATCAGGTCAGGTCGAAACCCGTCGGGTCTGGGTTGAGTGGCCATCCCTAATCCCAATCAAAATATATTAATAAATTATCAAAAGATTGATGAGGGTAGTATGATCAAATTTCATATTCCTTCCTCCATAGGATTTCAATTCAATCATGTTATGGATGAAATTTACTTTTCCTCCCTTGATGAAATTAGATTTCAATTCCCCATTTGAAAACTTGAACATGGGAAAGTGGTGGAATTAAATTATAATTCCTCTTAATTCCTCCTAATTCCAAAGGATTCCAGCGAACCAGGATTCAAACGAACCAAACGTCACTTTAAGGTTGTCTTTATTGGTTTATGGATGGCAATGAGTGTACGAGTGTTTCTCATGTTAGTTAAAGGGCATACAAAGTTTCAATAGGTTGAGGTGATTGATGGTAACGATGGTGTTTTTTTGAGTTATCAATGGTAATAAGTGGAGGTATATTGTGAGGATTAATTGGGCTATTGTCATTTTTATAAGTTTTAAATTTTAATATAATTTAGATATTTTATTTTATATTTTTTATTAATAATATATTTTTTTACAATTTTATAGGTTCGCTGTCTGAAATAAAATTATGCGTTTATTTCTAATATTAAGTTCAATACATAGATTTTAAATGTGGTCTATATTTATTATAAAATTTAATAATTTTTATGTGATATTAAGAACGGATTCCATTATTATTAGTATTATTTTGATGCATTGTTCTTTTACTATTAAGAATCGAACTTTTTGATAAATCTGATATGAAGAATATTATATTTTCCATCATTTTTATAAAAAAAAAAATTAAAAGGACTTGTCCTCTCTATGCCATTTTTTTCCTTCAGAATTTGTAGACGCCATCCTCCACACTGATTGGTCGAAAATCATCTAAGGACTCTAGAGAGCCCACTTTTGGAATTATCATAATAAATGAGTGGTTTAAGGAGGGATCATTTGGTGGTACATTGTACAACTTGAGAAAGAGTATCATGTTAGTAGTATTCTAATATAATTTAAATTATAGATGGGAAAAATTATATTACAAACAGAGGTGGACCTCCATGGTGTCGGGGTATCTCGGGCAACCCCTCATCTAGGGGCGGATCTCTATGATGCCCGGAGTTTATCTCAAGCAACCCCCCACAAGTGTCACCTCTAATACAAGTGTCACCCCTCAAAAGTGCCACCCATGAAGTTCTTGCAACCCTTGAATTTTTATCCTGGATACGCCTCTGATTATATTTAAAAAATATTTTTAAAAGTGAACACATGTATTAATAACACAAAATCTTTACCGGTGGGATAAACATAAATAAAATTCTAGAACGAGCACAACTAAAAATATACATAACTATTAATAGAAAATTCAGGTCTCAAACTAAAGAAATATCCATCTTTATATAAACATAATACTTAGGAATGTTAGACGACTATCTCTCGAATTAGGATAACGAACGTTGATCCATGAGTGACTAATCAAACTTCATCTTACTTTTTTAATCATCAAAAAGGAAAAACGTTTGAATTTTATGTGTTTTTATCACCAAATTTAACTGTGAAAATCTCACTTGCGACATCCTAATATACGATCAAGTAAAAGCGTTATTGGAAATGTTATTATTTTTTTAATATTTTTAATAAAAAATTACTTAAAACATTATTGTTTCTATTGGAAATGTTATTATTGGATGCTTTACCGTATTTATTAACATATCCGATAAAATGTTACTTAAAATATTATTTTATTAGATAATATTTTACCAAAAATATTAACAAATAATAATATTTTTGATAATTCATTTTTTTAATCATATATAAGACTGTTGTACGATAGAACTTCCTAATTTAACTAATAATAAATCAACTTTTGTTTTAATAAAATACTTCAATTCGTCTTCTTTTATCATCATTAAATGAAGCTCTTGTCGCCATCAAAATGAAATGAACGGAAGTAAAACCATATCAAAATTTGTTTGCTAACTGAACCTGAACCTCATAGAGTCGTGCAGTTGGAGGCTATCTGTGACAACTCATTGATTTTACTAAGTTGTTCTCAAACTGTAATCAAAACCAGACGGTTTCTTCAAATTTCGTCAGCTCAAACGTCATGTTTTTCAATGCCCACCACTTATAAAAACCCATTTCTTTCCCTTGTTAATTACTCTAATTCCGACGCTCGGAAAAGATCAGACAAAAAAACACAAGATTCTATCTTCTAATACGCGCCGCAGCCGTCACCACCATGCCACAACCTCATTTCCTCCTACTAACCTACCCCGCACAAGGTCATATAAACCCTTCCCTCCAATTCGCCAAGCATCTCATACGTATCGGCGTGCGTGTCACTTTCATCACCACCATCTCAGCCAGCCGCCGCATGACGAAAGTCCCCGCCGCTCAAGGCCTTTCCTTTTCACCCTTTTCCGATGGCTACGACGACGGAATTAAGCCCGGCGATGACCCCGAGCGTTACTTATCTGAATTCAGACGTCGAGGCAAAGAAGCTCTCTCCGACCTTATAATAACTAATGAAAACGAAGGCAAACCCATCACCTGCATCATTTACTCCTTGCTCCTAACTTGGGCGGCGGAGGGGGCGCGTGAACATCACATCCCATCGGCTCTCCTTTGGATTCAACCCACCACAGTTTTCGACATCTACTATTTTTACTTCAACGGATACGAGTCCACCATTAAAGACCAAGCCGATGAGTCCAACTCGAAGAGTTTGATAAAATTACCTGGGCTGCCGCCACTCGCAACCCGCGACCTTCCCTCGTTTTTCTCTGCTTCAAATGTTTACAACTGGGGACTGTCGATGTTCCAAGAGCAAATGGAAGTTCTCTATGAAGAACCCAACGCTAAAATCCTCGTTAACACCTTCGATGCTTTGGAACCCGAAGCATTAAAAGCCATTGACAAGTTTAAAATGATAGCATTCGGTCCCTTGATCCCATCTTCTTTTCTTAAAGATCAATTGGATAGTTCCTTAAGAACTGATCTTTTTCAATGCGATTCAAACGAGTATCTCCAATGGCTAGACTCGAAACAAAAATCGAGTGTGGTTTACGTATCATTCGGAAGCATGTCAGTGTTGGCCAAGCAACAAGTGGAGGAAATCGCTCGAGCTTTGATAGATAGTGGGCGACCGTTTTTGTGGGTGGTGAGAAATCAGAAATTAAGAGGGGAGGAAGTGACGGAAGAAGATAAACTTAGTTGCAGGGAAGAAATAGAGCAGTTTGGGATGATAGTCCCATGGTGTTCACAAGTGGAAGTGTTGTCTCATCCGTCGTTGGGTTGCTTCGTGTCGCATTGCGGGTGGAACTCGACGTTGGAGAGCTTGGTTGCCGGCGTGCCGGTGGTGGCGTTTCCACAGTGGACTGATCAAGGGACAAATGCAAAGCTGATCGAAGATGTGTGGAAGACGGGGGTGAGAGTGAGTGCTAATGAAGAAGGGATAGTGGAACGTGGTGAGTTTGTTAGGTGCTTGGATTTGACGATGGGCGATGGAGAAAAAGGGGAGGAAGTGAGAAGGAATGCTGAAAAATGGAGAGACTTAGCGAGGGAGGCCGCCGTGGATGGTGGTTCCTTGGACATGAACCTTAAGGCTTTCGTTGATGATGTTACTCAAGGTTGCAAGTAAATTTAACTACATTGATCATTAAATTTGTGTTTAATTTTGATCCTCATCTTTCTAGTCTCTTGACGTTTATCTTTTAGTACAATCCATTCTATAATTGTAATCTTATAAATAACGACATTGTAAAGCTCATAATATATAACGGACAGAAAGTTTATCTCTCCTCAATTTGTGTTTGTCTCTTCTCTCTCTTCTATTTTTTTCTTTTCGAATAAATACAAATTTTTATTTATCCAAAAGTAGTCAATCTGCTACAAATAATTAACCACTATACATCTCAACAAGCTAAACCAATCCAGCACCCTATACCAATTCAAAAATCTAAATCAGATTTCACTATGCATAACATGTTATTAATTGAACTTATACTGTTAATATCTTTACCCAGTAGCTATCACCGAACCGCATCCCGCACCTGGTTGATTAGTTCATGCACCGAGCACTGCTTCCTTTGAAAGATTCTCATGTTTCTCTCTTTCCAAACAAAATAAAAAATCGAGTTACATGTAATCTTCAACAGAGCGGTAAGAACTTTCCTTTAAACCTGTTGATTGCCCACTTAAACTAAAATTTCCAACGCCCCGATGCATATTGCAAATCGCCAAAACCATGGCCTAAATCGCTTTCGAGTACGAGCACCCGAAGAACATACGATCCCTTGTCTCCTGCTCACTACGTACCACAAAAAACACAGCCCTTCTCAACTTGAAGACCAAAGAAACTAGCCTACTCCTCGTAGGCAACCAGTTCAATGTTACCTCTCTTCTATTTTTATCATTTACTTAACACGTTATCAGTATAAATTGTTTAACAATAGGAATTCATTCGCAACAATGATCAAATTTATCATTCATATTTTTTTATTTGATATCCTAAACTATAAGATACAAAGATTTATATGAAGTTTTTATTTATTTAATTTTTCTCAACATTTTTTTGTATATAAAACTGTACTACTACACTTCATCTACATCACACACTTCGGCTACCGCTGTGTTAGTGTTATGATCACATGCATATGAGTGCATGGATGTGATTTTATGTTATTGTTTAGTTACAAGCTGTTAGTTTGTTATGAATCAGTTTTATTCATCTTGTATAAATACAGACTCTCTAGCTCAAGAGAGACCAGGTCTTTCATTAATGAAATTGCAGAGAGTTATATCTCTCATTTTTTTCATTTCTCTGTTTCTTGAGATAGCTCAAATGTTATCTTGTCATGGTATCATTCGCCAATCATGGTGGTTGTGCTTCTTCCGCTGTTGTTTTTTTTTCATTTATGCAGTCTTCTTGATTCTTCTTTGTCTTTTTCTTGAGTCTTGTGTTAAGCTCAAGATTATCTTGATATTGTGTGTCTCGTGATTCTTTACTGCTGAAAGCATTTCTTGTTTTTTTTGTCATCATGGTTGACTTGACAATTAATCCCACCCGTGATTCTGAGGACGTGTCTCCAAATACTTCCTCTTTAAGTCCGGGAGCTTTGCGAGGAATGCTTGGTGTTCAACACATACCAAAGCATGATACGGTTAAACTCACTGAGTCCACCTATATTCTTTGGAAGCATCAGATAACTATGATAATTGATGGTTATGGGTTGTTGAAATTTATTTCTGCTGGTTCTACTGTACCTGATGAGTTTCTT